CGAGCCGACGGATTTCGGCGTCTTGGGAGGGTGACTGAGGCTTTTTTTTTGCCGCTGGCGCGAAAAAAGTGGGCCTGGGGTCTAAGGGGGCTGTTGGTGGTGCGGCTGGAGATGATCTTAACGTATGTCGCTGGTGAAGCAGCCACACGATCGTGTGTTTCCAACCCCGTGCAGTTCCTGTCCGTTCCACTCGCCATGCAGTTCCCAAGGAGATAGCCGAGGCATAGCAGCCGGCGGATCCGTGGATGGGATCTGCAAGAGAATTTGGTGTGTTTTTGCGTTCAATTGTCCTGCTGGCTCGGGCAACATCGGTTTCCTTGGCTCCTTCTTAACGTTAGTTGATGGATGGTCGGCCCTCACTTCAGACGAGGCTACCATCGAACTCGCGTCGGGCGAGGTATAGGGGCGCCCACGCAACGACGCTGCTCGCTGCACGTGGGCGGGCTGGTTCATCATTCTAATGTCAAGCGTTGATGGGCTCATCTCGTTCAGCTTCCAACCGTATTGCTTGTTAACTTGTACGCTAGTACATCTACAAAGATCTAGTGTGCTCCATCAGTGATGGATTGTATGTCAATGCCAATGGTCTACCTACCAAATGGGTTTCTTACTTAACTTGTTCGTTAGCACAAAGTACAGGTACATATATCTAGAGTGCTCCACATGTGATGACTTGTTCATTAATGCCAATCGAATGCATGCCAGCTGATTGCTTTTTCGCTTGTGTGTTGATGTTCATCAAATACATGACAGCTACATTGCTTTTTCACTTGTGTTGGTGACCACTTAACGATGCACATCTAGGCGAGTAGACTATAAATTAGCGCAGCCTAATGTGAGCCCATAGAAAAACCCATAACTTAACCTGAGGAGAGCGGTCGACTAGCCAGCCATGTCGTCGGCAAAGATATGCATTACCACCATGATTGTGCTAGTGTTGCTGCTTGAAGCCACCGTTGATGCCGGCTTTAGGATGGGGAGTGGTTTTTGTCAAAGCGACCATGGCTTGGTGGATTGCCAAACCTTGTCAACTAGCACAAGCAAGTATGGCAACAAGCAAACATGGCCGATTGTGTGGCCAGTGTGGTTCGCAAAGTGCCCACAAGGAAAACGCTTCTGGTGCACCGAGAGATGGTGTGCCTGTATCTAGCATGCGTGTACAATCCATATACATATAGGAATAAGGGCCGTGTAGGCCAGAATAAGCTTCATGCATGTTGTTTGTGGCCATCACCAGAGTGGTACTGATGCTACTCAGGTCTTCGTAAGGCTATAGATCATGTATCAATGAATAAGATAATTGTTTTGAAACAGGCTTTGGCCCTTCTTTATATAAAAAGCAACAACGAAACAAAGTACACGACTGATCGATACAAAGTGGTGAGATAGCCCTCTTACAAAGCCGATCCCCGGAATAATCGAGTCATGCAGAACACAAGTGCCTATGCTACTGAAAGATAACACATAAAGAAGTGAGTACAACGCCACTCTACGCACTAACACATCTAAGCTCCACGAGAACGCCCTCAAGAGGAAGAACGACACAATGCATCGCTGCTGCTGAGTCCATAACGGACAAAGGTTTTCACTCGGAACTGAGACACGGAAAGGAGCCCCACGATGACGTCTTAAGGAAGAGAGTGGCACCCGTGAGTGTCGGCAATGTCGGCGACAAAGCGTGGAGCTTTCGCCCCACAGCTCCTTCGTGCCACCATGAGGGCTCTAGGACAAGTGGGTTCAAATCCCCACATCCGGATCGGGTGCCATGACAAAGTGCGCGCGAGCCACTCGCCGCTACACTTCTCTTCACCCACACGACCAAGAGACGTAGCCATCGCTGTCGCCATGGTGCCCGCTGAAGAGCCAACCATGCAGACTGCCATCCCGGGTCCGCCGCCCTGGCATCCATGTCTTGAGGCATCGCCAACAATTTGCATCATAGCACACCAACCACACTAAGGAAGAGAGGAAAGCACCTCCTTCCACTCATAGCCCGGCATCGACCACCAGGTCCGGGTCAGGGCCTCCACCGTAGACGCCGTCCACCACATCGAAGCCGCACCACACCACTCACACAGCCGAGAGCTTGTCATCTCCATCCTGGAGCCTCCCTAACAGCGCCTGCCCGGAGCATGCCAGCCACCAAAAGCAAATCCACCACCACCAGCCACCTGTCCATCTCGCCACCCCCACCAGCAGCCAGCGAGCCCTCGGCCATAACCATAGTAGGGGTGCCGGAGCCCAAACTGAGGAGGCCCGCCAGAGATGACCGCTGCAGCCCGTGGTCAGATCTGAACCACCGTCGACGTCATGGGCATGTAGCCACCGCACCGCGAGCCTCCACCCACCGCAACGCTGCTCACCCGCCGTGAGCACGCCACTATCGCGAGCCATTGCCATCACGCCGCTGAGCCTTGTGCCCGTCTGACACCACCGCTTGGACTAGCCTCCCGCACTGGCCATCCCCGAGAAGAGGTGAAAGCGGCGAGGTAGGGCGGTAGGGAGAGGAGGGGAAGAAAGCGCGGCACCGCCGCCTGAATCGCCTGCACGGGGTGGGGGTGGCAGGAGGGGGCTGACACACGGGTTAGGTCGTGGGTTTCTTTCAGAGATGTCTTTTTAGGGGAAATTAATAAGACTAGAAGCTAACGCGCGCTTTGCTGCGCCGGAGGATAAAGACGTGATTCAATTTTGTAACTTCATTTGTGCTTGTTCTCCTTTTGTATGACAGTATGAGGATGATGCTAAATTGATGAGACCTGCCTACTGGACATAGTACATGAGTGTCATGTTTCATCTCAGGAGTCGGGACTATTCTCATTAATTTTCAAAATATAGAACTTATTATTACATGGTTAATTCCCAAGAATGTAGGCATTAACCTATAATTTCCTAAGTAAATTGTGTGGGAATACATGCACCATAGAAACAATACAAATACATCGTAGGCAAGGATCATACAATATGTCGAAAATGTGTTTCACTGACAGTATAACACGAAAACCAAAAACTACTTTAAACCAGGACTACAAAGTGGAAGTAGCCTAGCAGCAGTAGAAATGTTTCATATGGATTAACAAAGTAGACCAATTTTTAAAAAAAAAATCATATTTACTTGTGCACTAAGGTGAATAACCACAGAAAGTCAAGAAATAGTTGTAGTGTGACTTACAGAGGTCGCTTGGACAAATTGAGAACATGTGGTTGTGTATGAGGTAAGAAAATTTTACTTGCAATTATATACAGGGATTTTAGAAGGCTGACTTTTTAAGCTTCAAGTTAACTATGTTAATCCAATAGGCAATAAAACTGGTTAAGAACTTAATATTATGGCCAATATCAGCACAAACTGCATACATATGGCGTAAGACAAAACTGGAATAGAAAGCCGAGTATAATACTCTATGGAGAGGTTGATTGAAGGTGAACCAAAGAACTTGCATCCATTCTATGAAGATGATCTTAACAATAGTCAACAATATCACTATAGATGCTCGGCATGATGCAGTTAAAAAAAGACGACATACCACGGGTAAGTCAGCACCCTAAAGAACTGTAAATCGTGGGATAATGTAATTGTCAGGCATCTAGTTATGGATGTGTGTATCACATGATGCAGACGCTGAGGTACCCCCCTTCTCAAAAAACACACACAAACACACACACACACACACACACACACACACACACACACACAGGGAGGGAGAGAGGGAGAGGGGAGGGAGTATGTAATCAAAAGAGAAAGTTAATTGTACCATTTAGAATAATACATTTTACCATCTTTGAGCATTAAAGGACCCAACTTGTCTTGCGTTTGCAATAACCTGGAATAGTCGAGAACAAAGAAACTCAAGTAAAAATATCACAAAACACAATTAAGTGAAGGATTTTCAGGTAGAATAGATACTTCAAAGTCATATGCGTAATTTTTACTTGATGAGTACTTCTACGATACAATTTTGTTAGGTACTATATACAAAGTCAAAGTTGTATTTTGGAGTCCACACCTATGTCAAAAATGACAACTTTCCGAGCACTGGAAGGAATAATTCATTTTGTACTGAGATATAGTAAAGCATCCAGTATTTCTGTAAGAAATATTTGTGTCTTATTACCATATAAAATATCTAGACCAGACATTAAATTATAGACAGAAAATATCGACGATTAATACTTCAGTGTTTATGTGTCAGGATTCATGGGCCATCCCTGCACGAAGTGAGCATGAAGATCTAAATGAATCAGAATGACAGAATAAAGAAGATAGAATTCTCCTCAGAATGAAGTCTAACACTATTGTGCACCTTCTATATACAAATAAAACTGTGATATATTCCACGATACTTAGAAGAACTACCAATAGGTTGTTGTTTAGAAGGTTTCCCACATGCGTATCCGAGAACAAACATAGGATCTAAGGTTAACAATTAGTGCCAATCTGAGAAAATATATGCTGCAGTTAGGAAATGCATACGATTTGTGCAGATAACTATGTGAACTACAATACCTTACATGTAGGCAATGCACAAGAAAATGGGAAAATAACAGTCGCTAAACCCAAACGCAATTGCTACATCGCTTTGACAGCTCTCAGCACTTTCTAGTAGTCACTAACAACCGGTACCATCACATACAATTTACTTATTCCAGTTTCTTTGACTAATTGAAGAAAAACTACAACAATTGAGATGGGCCCAACCTGGAGATTGACTTCCCCATCAAAACTTTAGCATAGGCGCACCTACATCTCCAGTCGCTCCATGCCAGTTCTCTCCTAACTAATGTTGATTCAGCTAGCTACTGTGGCCTAATTACACAACTGTAGAATCAAATTGAGGGGTATATATGGAATCAAAATAGGATTTTGATATATATACAGACTTCTAGACAACAAATATATGAGAAAAAGAATGAACATGACTGATTTTGGGGAAGAAAAGCAAACATCCCAGTTTAGCCTAGAGAAAAACATGTGCGGGTATAGAAGTGGTGGCGTCCACAGGAGACAACGCACAGTGTGGTGTCGTCGTGACTTGCCGGATACACAGCCTTTCGGTGGAGGCGATGCGGTGGAGGTAGCGGCTCTAGCCGTGAATTAGGATGTCTGGAGGCGTCGTCGACCGCCGCATACAACAAGACAGAGAGAGGATTGAGATGGATAGGCAAGGAGGAAGGTCTCACTAAGCATCCCTCGCATCCCTCCTTGTACGGAGCTCCAAATCCATCCATAGCCATGCCCTTGGACGGCGGGTGCGGGGGCGGCGGCTGGAGGCGAGCCGCAGCGGCAGGAGGAGGCACGCGTGGTTGACTGTGGGATGGGTTTCTTTCTTGACAAGGGTCCTGGTAACTTGGGCCTTGCTGGGCCTGTACAAGGGTCCTGGTAACGCACCGACCTAGATAGAAGACCAGCGTGCATGCATGATCGAGCCAAACCAGACCGACGTGAAAGCTGGCACACATGAGAGCGGCGATGGGAGATCAACTCGAATACGCAATCGCTCACAACGCTGGATTTCACGGGAGCTTAGTAACTAGTTAGATAATTGTCGGTGCTATATGTGCAAGCCACTGCTTTTAGCCCATCGATGGTCAAAAATATCCATATCTTTTTACAAGAGGTAGTGGCGTGACTTTGTGTGCATTCTTCTGCAAACGAATACTCTAGCGAATACTCTTTCCACCGTTGCACATATCTTGGTTCAGCCCTTGGCCATGTGGAATTGTTGAAGTCATTCGCTCTCAGTTGATTCCATGCGAACGCTCTCTCTTATTAATATTATTTTCAAAAATTATAAGGCCAAGATTGTGCGCTCGATGGGGCCCGACGGCTTGTGGCTCGACTTTGGCAGTATCATAAATCCCAAGTGACAGTCTGAGATGTATGGGCTCAAACATTTGTTTTAACTATGAGAACATTTTCTTCCATTGTATAAAAAAGTGTCAAAAACATTATTTTGAAACTGATTTTTTAAAGCTAATTTTGTCTAAATTTGATTTAAAATGAAAATTTTCTAAATCCTGATTTTGTTTTCATTTTTGAAAGAACAAAAATCCTTATTTTTATATGTTTTTTAACTCTCCATGTGCATTTTTTATTTATAGGTACCATAGCATTTTTTTTCCTTTTTACTATTGTAGGTACCATGACAGTTT